TTTCGGGTTCCACTCGAGCACTGGCCTGACGCGCGATGTCGCCCAGCGGCCTCCTCAGCGAGTTTCCAATCCATCTCCACTTTCTCCTGCATATTTGTTGGGCGATTGGTTCCTGTTTTGTTTGTTCCCATAGTTTCTTGTTGGTGATTCTTTCCGGCCATCTGATCTTCAGTATAGAACGAAGACAGCTGTTGATAAAGCTCTGCAACCGGCTGGAAATATTCTTGGTGACCCGCCAAGTTTCTGATCCGTATAGAAGAAGTGACTTGACGATTGTATTGAAAATCCGAATCATTTTGTTGTTGATGCAGAGTGAAGAAGATTTCCAGACTGGTTTCAGGTTGATGAATGTGTTGTTGATGCAGCTGACTATAAAGGATGAAAATTTACACGATGCAGATCTGGATTAAAACAAGCTCACTAGAAATTACCCACCGAAACACACGTGAATACTGATGTTTCTCCAGATCTAAAAATCTGAGTTACTGACTACCAAGCAAAAACCATGTAATCATTACATTATTCATCTGAGGAGGGATTACATTGTACGACTGCAGCACATAGAATACACGACTACTTTCAGATTTAATTCATAAAATTCAGGAATATGGGATTTAATTTCTCTTTAAATAAACTTGTTTATTAATGAAAATCTTGTACTGGTCTGTAGGGATAAAGATTCTGTAAGTTGTAGAGTTTCAGGCTTCTATCATTGATATAAGGACAGAACTTATGCACTGTGGTAGAGTATATTTTCATTATGGGTAAAATTTGGTAAATATCATCAGTAAATATTACTGTATAACACTGTGAGACTTTATCAAAATTAAATTTTACCCATAATTGAATTTCAGGCTTCTAATTTTTCTGGTTATTTTGGACAAACGTGTCAATTTAGAATAAGAATTTGTTTTCACAGGTGACTTTTTAATTCTAATTTCTGGCTTATCCAGTGATTTTACTATCCCCTCTCTAAATATTTCCCTCATATCTATTGTTTAACTGAATGTAGGCGGAATATTTTAGTTTAATTTGACGCTTGTTTATAATACTATAAAAAATGACGTTCATATGGATATCTTTTACGAGGTTGGGTGAACTTTCCCAGTATAATGAAGTGCATTAGATTAATTTGGGTGATTTTTGTTGATAGTTTATGAAAAGAAAACATATTATCGTATTGAAAACAGGTTAACAAAATTGATTTTCTGTTTAACAAACTGTCAGGTGTAATAGCTTAAATTCTGTGATATATTAAATACAATCTATTGGCTATTACTTATTGACTGCTTTGATTTCTTCACTAGTAGATATAGGCTGAGTATTATATTCAAACTCCATCAACATTTACGGGCATTTTCATACTCCTCTTCAACCAGCAATAAAAATGCATAAAAGCCACACACAGATGGTGTCTTTGTATGTTGTTTTGTTGTCCAAGACTTTCCTTCAGATAAGTGAAAACTCTTAAACATAAATTATGCTTTGTTGACCAAATTAATCTGTGCACTATCCGAATACAACGAGATAAGTCAGTAAACTACAGTTCAGTAACCTTTCTGAGTGTTATTAGTATGCTTACATTTCATCACTCGCCTCATCGTGTTTCCTTAATTTGGCCTTAAGCCAAAGTAAGTAAGACAATTTTAAAAAGAAAAGAAAAAGAAATGAGTTTATTCTTTTGCTTACTGTTTGTTTGTTCAGTGGTCGTTCATTTATCAAATATTCTTTCTCATATTATTGCATCACATTGAATTTAATCAGGGTAATTTTACTAATACATGTATATATATATATATGTATGCAAGCATTTTGTTTTACTTTCCTTCACTTTTTCTTGACGATGAATGCTTTCTCTGATTTGATACAATGTGATTAACAACACTAAATTCACTTTTTTTAAAGTAATTGTTATCAATGTTTAATTGTTCATAATAACTGTCATATTCCCAAAGCTATATTTTATATGGATAAATCAAAGGATGAGAAGAAGTCATTGATAATAATGAAAAATCAGTAGATGGATGGATAATACACATTAATATCGTGGTCATCGCTTTTCATCATGACAGCAATATATTTTGACATGCTCTCCATACTTAATTTAAGATGATCACAATAAACTTTATCTGGTTAGATGACAGAGAGAAATACTACTGTTACTGTTTTAATTTCTACAAAGACTGAAATAAACGCACACTTCTTTGAGGTGGGGAAACTCTCCACTAATATCCCTTATGCTGTAGACATTATATTTTAAAACACCTAGCACCTAAAAAAGCTTAATCGATAGAATCAGTGGAAGCAACATTAAATGAATTTATAAGTTTCAACATCGTCCGTCGGGCAACGGTGGCACAACGGTTGAATACTCTCCGACCAAGCATGTGGTCCGGGGTCCGATCCTCGGCCGACGCACTCCTTAACCTCGCTAAACCAGTGATAAATCTTGTAAAGAGAGAAGCTTGGGAATAAGGCTAGCAACCTCATCCTGTAAAAATAAACATCACTGCTACCGAAACTTCGAGCCTCTAGCTTGAAGACGTATGTTCGCCTGGGAATGTAGAGGGATTAAAATTTAAAAAAAAACATTGTCCATCAGCTATGTATATATCCAATCAAAAAAGGAACATGCAGTCTTAATGCAGACTCTGACATCCAATGAAGTCCCACAAAACAAGGCGAACAGCACATGTGGGTCAAATAGAACTGATAATATTTTGCAAAATTGGGAGGTCTAGAAATGAATTATTCAACTTTGAATGGATTAATAAAAATTGGATATGAACAAATGAAGTTGATTTGATACTAATAATGAAACTGATACCATTGTTTCTTGGCAGTAATTGATAATTTAAGTTGAGAAGTTAAGAGTAAATACATCGTTTTCAAAATCAGTTATTAGTCTTGCCAATAATAATCTTCGGTGTGCTAAATGAATAATGGTAATATGAATATGAAACAAATAAGTGCACGAAGATTAGAGAATATATCCACCATGATGGAATCTACTACCGTAGATTCAGGGTGATTGTCATCTTCTGCACTCAAAGACTCAGCCTAAGAACTCGGTTCATTCAGTCTACCGCAGTTAACTAGTAATGCTGAATTCTTGTTCTTAATGCTACAAACGCCTTGTTATAGAAGGTCATTAGACTCTCCCTTCAGTAAAGCTTATCAATTTAACTATATGTTCAGTCATATCAGCAGATAGATAACTCCGCCTTTGTCTCCGCAAGTAAATAAGAATCAATGAATATATTTTGGAGTGTTGAAATTCGGTGTCCTATTTTTCTATGATTTCTGCATTATAAGCTTGACGGTACTTTGATATTTTGAGCTTAACAGCACTACACATCCATTCAATAATCTTATTCAGTCTTTGTTTGATTTCTTTGAAAGGGTCTTTTTATTCGTGGTTATTTTTTAAAATACAGACTTCCCTCTGTATGATTTTATGGCTGTCCTTCAGTTTTTATTTCACAAAACAAATGATTGTCAGACGTCATTGTTAGAACATAGTTCCAGCTATAGAAAAAGGTCTTAGTGAATATGACCTGTAGCTGCATTATTTTCGACTGGTTCATCTGGCAAACTGAATATTCGTAAAACAGTTTCTTACTGACTCACCAATGCAAAGATTACTAAGGTTCATTAACAAAGCAAGTTGACTTTCATCAGTGTTTTCAGTTAGCTGGTGAATTTTCGTTACAACTTCTAACACCATTGTTCCTCATTCATGTTTTTTATTTACAAGAGTGACTGAACCTTATTTTATAGGTTAGAAAATATTTTGTAATCATTTCATTCACGCACTGTTGGCTATTTATCGTTGTTAACACTCTGGTTTTTTTCATTACTAATGGCGTTTTTCAAAAATGTTTAAGTTATCTAACAAGAACAAAACATTAGTGGATATCAGTCAGCAAAACTGCATGGCTCCTTTGTACAATGCTTAGTGACTGTATAACTTTACTACTTTGTCATTTAGTTCAGCTTCACGCATTCAGAACTCATTTATGCTATCATGTATGCCTAGTGAGGGAGAGAGTGAAACAAATAAAAACCTTCGTTTTTATCACATAGGAATCAGAGTCCTTCCTTCTTAATACAAATCAACCATTGAAATGATATGACAAGTAAATTTCCTTCCGACTTTGGTAATGTGGCATTTTATGAAGACTTCTTATCATACAGCAAAGGAAAAACAAATTACAATTTGTCAAACTCTATTGTCATAAATATTCCGTTTATAAGTTGATTACTTCTGATAAAGATTGAAGAGAAAAAACACAAACAATTCACTTTGATCTCATGCAGACAATCCTTAGATTAGGGGAATCCAGGATAGATTGTTCAAACTTATTTAATATAGACATTTATGTAAATAAAATCTGTAGGTAGCACCAACCTGAAGTTTTAATCAATTTGGCAACAAACTAAAACTACTTGAAATAGTTAAAAAGTAGCTGATGTACAAAAATAAAACATCAGAGTTTTCACCAGTTCTCCAAGAATCGATTTTTTGTATATTAAATAGATCACGTAGTATTTGTTTAAATGAGCTTTGATTAGTATCTGACAATTTTCATTGTTTGTGAAGCATGCTTTAAATATGTATACTCTAAATTTAGGCAAACATTTTCAATTGGAAGGACGATAAAGTTCGTCAGAGAGAGAGAGAGAAATAAACGGTCGCTCAGTCTTTCTCTGTGTACATCTCTGTGTGTGTATGTGTGTGTGTGTGACAAGTTCCAAATCACTTAAAGTTGTCAAAATAAATCAATACAAGCACGTGAGAAAAGACTAGAGTAATTTTAGTTAACTAGTCATATGAGTGTAGTAGATGATAACTGATGAAAGTCGAAATCATTACTGTTATTGTTACTATTATTATCTATTTATTTATTTGTTTAAAAGATATACAGGTTAAATTTTACATTTAATGCTGTCAACTATTATTACTTTTACTGTATGTTTTTAAACTGATTTTTATACAGTTCACGAATTACTCAGCAGTGGAATGTGCCCAGATGTAGCCAACGAAGATGGATTGACAGCCTTACACCAGGTAAGTTTATTAGTTTATTGCTAGCATTTTTTTCTATCATTCCTTCGATGAATGGCTTTTCTTAGTGGTTTTCATGGGGTATTTTTGTGGTCAGAATAACTGTCAAAACAATAAGCCATCACTGCACAATTGTCTCATTCTGACTTGAGTTGGAAGATTCACCAAATAAATTCATAGTTACGAACCAATTTCAGCATAGACCTACACTGCCTAATCTTCATCCAGAGCTGTTGTAAGAGCAGTATGACAGTGCTAGCACACATTTACCAGAATGCATAGTATTAACATTTTCTGAGTAAAATGACGTCGGGTTAGACCCAGTGACCTGCATTTCCTCCTAATCTAACTTTTAACAAATTCATGCTAGACACAAAAGCTTGCATTGTGGACCGATGAATACTTTTCTTTGTCAGACTGCCTACTTTTTATGAGAGTGTTGGTTCGTCTAACCTCACTAGAACAACACTGTAACCACCTGAGAACTTGAAAATGTCTCCCACAGCGAAACAGACGCAGAAGTCAGACTAGGAAAAACGCCAAATGCAGCAACAATGTTTTTTTGACAAATACATGGTGTTATATTATATATACCGAACACTCATAAATTTAAGGTGTAAATGGAAAAAATCTGATGGTTGTATGATATCTCAATCCATCAGAAAATCAAGTCATAAATAAACGAATACAAATTCTCCAATAAGGTTATCATGTCAGTACAAGCAAAAATGACGACTTCATGGATAACAAAGAAGCTTGTCTCTCCTAATACCTCCCCTTTTAACTAGTTCTCGATTGTGAGATCACTAGATGATGCTCCTAAAGTTCGCTTGCACATTACAGAATTTATTTTGTTCCTGATTCACATCCATCCATGAGGCCACTAGCTATGATTCTGAACCACTGAATAATACTCAGATTGTGTAGATGTTTTGCTTAAAATATATACTACACTATATATTCTTTTATGAATAATTGCTTATCTAAGTTATATAACTGAAGTGTAATGCATTTTATATCAGTTTTAATCTCTCATACTCCCTCTACCGTTATCTGTCTGAACATGACCTGGAAAACATTCGCAACTGTCTTTCTGCATGACTAATTCAATGTAGTTCATTTACTTATCAGTCCTATATCTCCCAATGTAATTTCAAACATTTATGTATCCGTGTATGTAGAGTATTCAGCTGACGAGTTCTACCGAAATTCGATGAATTCATTAAATCCTGCTTTATTAAAATTTTTTGCTTGTTTTAAATTCGTATCGGGAAATAAATGTTTTCAGTTCTATAAATTAGTGGTTGGAGACTCGTTCAAAAAAACTTAGACATAGTCACTCATACGTAACTTCGAAAGTTTGAGCGTTTTATTTTACCTATATCTCCTATTTCTGTTTGACGTGATCCTGTTTGTCTGCTGAGGTAGCATTTTATTTCTATCTACTTCTCTTTTGTGCTGTTTAGAAATGTGGCAGCTTGGACTTGTACACTTCTGTGTAATATTCTACTTCCATCTGTCAATCAATAACCATCTTCAAATTACTTCCTGGTTGACTAGTTACTGTTAGCCAAATACTGTTTCAGACAAGTTGTGATAAGTACTCAGGAAACATTTTAGGATTTAGATTTCTTTAATTTTAGACCTTAACTAAAAGTAAATTCAGTAGGAATATATGAGTCCCTAATCCTTACTGAAATATTCTACCAAATGGTTTTGCTGTCTAGCTCAATTCATTGCTTAATAATTTTGCATAGCTCTTCAATACCTAGAATCTGAGTTGATAGAAATAATTGACTAAAAGTGCAGTAGACTAGTGAATTAACTTTGCAGTCAGAATTATCTACTCTAAATACATATCTATATCTGATTTTCTGGAGCGTTACTCTCAATTCGAAGGAGATTTCTTGTATTTGTTTAAACTATCAACTAGTGTTTTTTTATTAGTAGAATCTCACGCATTCCTCACTTTTTGCATTCATAACCAATTGTGCTTACAGCATAAACTATTCGTCATTCAGAATTTTAGCATCGTGATAATTAAAATTAATAGGATAAATAGTCTAAAATTAAGCTATATCTGTCGTCGAAATCTACGGTATTTATCTGATCTCCAATTTTCAATTATTTTCTCATTCATTTCAGCATTAATTTTTATACAGTCCCTTAATACAATAACTGTTAGTTATACCTTACTAGCTGTTGACTTAATAACTTTCTGCATACACACGGCTTTGGTTCAAGAATTAGAATTGGAGATTTTCTGTTCAACTTAACTAGAAAGTGGAAAATACCACTAATTATTCATCCACTCATATTTATAGGCTCAAGGTAGAAAGGATTTTTCAATAGTTAGGAACATTCAAACAGCTACAGTCAAGTAATCGAGAATAAGTAAGGATATTTTTACAGTTTCAGAAAATTGGCTAGCATGAAGACAACTTTCATCACGAAACGAGACAGACTTAATAAATGATATAACTTATGGGGTCACTGAAGTCAGGATTGTTTCTAAATGTCTAAAACTAACATTAGTTTACGGTCATACCAAGATATAAACCGACAAAAGTTAGTATGTGTAGATCATTTGAGTCATAGTATGTAAGTGAACATACTTCAGTCATCCACTTTTAGAAAAGTCACCAGCCATTCACGTGGTCCAGGTTCGATCCTCTTTACATGCAATTTTGACGAGCCTAGTTTACCAGCTAGTGTTAAGCATAGAGGTTGGCAACCACACTTCGTAAAAACAACACGGCTGCTGAAACTTTGAAAGTTTGTAGCCTGATGATTCACTGAAAACGCAAGGAATGAAAAACAATGGATAAATAGTGATGTAGCCTCTTCCCGCTCTGAAATTATACAGGAGATAAAATCGAGCAAATAAATTCAGATGCATAAGTAGCCTTTTTACTCTAACAAACAAACATACTCATATAACAACAAAATGTCCCCCAATCGAAACACTACTTTTATATCGAAATTAGCTGAGATTAATTAGTAATAATTAAATTAAAGGTACCGAGAGCTATAAAAGTTGGCCAAAACTGATCCATGCATTAACCCGCATCTAGTTCGATATAATCCTACAAATATCGTGAAGTGAAAACAAATATGTATGAATATATATGGCGGTTCTCAGAAGACAAGAAGAAATTGAACTCCTTATAGAACTCGCCACTTTTATAATGTTCTTTATTTCAGACGTAATATTTCCCTATCGGCATCATTATAATCCATATTAGTAGTGGTGGTAGGATCAGAGAATTTGTTTTCCTCTCCCTCCCTTATATCCAACTGAGTTAAATTCAACAGACAGGAAACACATAAAACTTAATTCTTTTCCTCAAGAGTATTATTTTACAATACTGAATTCCATAACTGCCTACGTATTCTATTTTTATTTACTACACTTCATTTCTTCAACCACCAAAATGCTTGAGGATTTAGATACAAGTTTAAATAAAGTAATTTATGAAGACAGGACAAATGAGATGAATATTGATGTTTGATGTTTACAAAAACACTTGTTTTTACAAACAAATATAACAGTGGTTGTTTGATTGTTATTTTTAGGAATGACATCTGTTTACCTTACATATATATATATATTTATACATATATATGAATTCGGTGCTGGGTTTGTTTTTACTAACTATGGCGTTTGTGCACAAGAATTGATTGAGAGACTTAGAAACTAAGTCATAACCATGTTTGAATCGGTGATTTGTAGACAACCTAATAAAAACACTTTTCGATCAAGTAAACCCTGACATCTTTTAGAGGTCTGGGAACCCTTAGTGTATATGGAATCCAGCGTCAAGTCTAACTAACTAAACCTCACTGGCGCTTCCTGTATAAGAAACTACTACCTACACTTGTTTGGCTTCATTTTTCTTACTAAGACCATACTAATTACTAGGTAGTAAACTGGGACGTTCATACAGCTGATGATACATAATTGTCAATAATTTGGTTAGCTTGAAACCTTTTTAAACAATTTCCAGCTAACTGATTTCTAAGGAAAAGTAAAGTCCATCCCGCACTATTTCTAACTCACTTTGAAAAAATTACCTACCGCTCTGAAAAATGTCGACAGTACATACATGTCTGAAATAGTATTACTATTTATTGTTATTCGTTTAGACTACAAGTAAAAAATAAAGCTTCAAAAGCACATATCCATTATCATCGTGTTCTCTGACGTCCTCTTTAGCTTTCTCCACGACCACTCATAAGCTCTCGTCTCCTACTCCCACAGTCTTCTACAAGTGACCTTCAGATGCCTATCTCGTCGCTTCCCTCTTGGCTTCCACTCGAGGGCCTGATGTGTAGTGCAACTCAAAGGTCTCCTCAGTATGTGTTCGATTCATCTCCATTATCTTCTACACATTTGTTTGGGCTGAAGGTTCTTGATTGGTTCGTTCCCAGAGTTTCTTGTTACAAATTCTTCCTGGCCATCCGATTTTCTGTATGTAAAGAAGGCAACTGTTGATAAAAGTCTGGAGCCAGTTAGAGACGGATTCGGTAAATCGCCAACTTTCTGAATCCAGTTCAGGAATATCATTGGTGACAGTAGGCAAGCTTGTTTTTCTCCTGTCTTCATGATAAAGGCTACGCTGAATTTTCCGTTGTGGATAACTTGATATGTTGCAGGTTCAAACTCCCATCTGTCTTCTTTGTTTTTGGAACGTTCAGAAATGAGGTTGTCTGTTAGGTTTCTACTTCTACTGTATATCTGATGTCTGACTGACAGCTATTTAAAGTGTCATCGAATTACCTTTTGTACAGCGGTATAGCATCGATTGTCGGTTTCAGCGCACCATTTTCCAGACTTTCCATGAAAATCTTTGCAAGTAATGGGCCTGGAGGTAAACCCATAATTACTTCATCTTGCTGTCTGCAAACATTTTGGTTACGTGAACAATAACCCTAACTAATTTTTATTATTGTCTGACCAACCTGACGTAAACACTCACACAAATAATTATATATGATTGAGACTGTACAGCTAAGTGAACGAATTTGCCGAAATGAAACGTCTCACTGAACAGTTTTCTTATATTCATGTCTGGACAAGTATTTTTTTTGAACTAAATAATCTCACTTTGGTACAAGATTACTATCTTCTGCTCCTTATTTTATAAAGCTTCTTCAAATATTATTGGTAGCTAAGACGGCAATCTTCGAAACGTGGTCATGTCTTAAACAAGTATTCCTGTATCATTCACCTTTTTTGTGTTGTATATTTTCATGCTTAGTATTTTATCCACTTCGCTTTAGCTACAGATACATTGGAAACTAACATTTAAATTTAGATTAAATAAGTAGTACTGAAGGGTTAGCTGCGAAAAACCATCAAATTTTTCCTTTTGTTGCCTGTTTATTCATCTTTTATTCTTCAATTGTCTTTTTAAAAATCAGTGTGAATAGAATGACTAAAGACGTAAAATGTCTTAGGTAATTAAAATAATATGAAAGGAGATATTATTTTGTTGCTTATTTAACTTTGAATGAAAGATTTCAAATGAGAATAAAATACCTTTGATCTATCAAGCTATCGTTTTCTTTCAACTGTTTGCTATATAAACTCTACAAGAGAACAAATTCATATCAATATATGTGGATATTTATATACATATATATATAATATTGACGCAAACTGAATAAACTCCAAACTATAGTGATTTGAATGTTAAAAATTAGCTGATTTGTTGCAGTCGCTAGTCAGAATTACTTTCCGAAAATGAAGGAATTCATCAGACAAGTAAAATTATAGCCTGGAGAGAATGATGGTACTCGGTATTCTACTCAGCTTTACGACTTTAAGTACACTAGATTTCCCACAAAATTATTCCAACATATTTGAATAAGTTGAAAACATCATGGATATTTTCAAACCTTCTCTTCCTAAATTAAACTATTCATCGAGTTGCAATCTTCTCTCTTCCCCCCAGTAGAGCATATAGCTTCCGGCTAGAGCTTTGGAGTTTCGGTAGCAGTGATGTTTCTTTTATGGGATGGGGTTGCTAACTTCATACTCAACCCTCCCTCTTTATCAGTCTTATTGCCGGCTTAGAGAGGTTTCGAAGTGCGTCGGCCGGACCACGTGCGTGGTTGGAGAGCATCCTACAGCTAAATCACCGACGCACTGCAATACTCAACGAAATTATACGCGTTTGACAACAAAATTCTACGTAGATTAACTGACCACAATTTAAAACGATGGTGTTACTAAATGTGAACACCATATTCGTTGACATCTTATCGGTAATACTGGAAACGGTGAAACTATTGAGAATAAATCTAAATTCTTCTGAGTAAAAAATAGATTGAACGCCAGAAAGAAGCATGAACCTTACACTGATTTCACAGTTTGCAAATAAGATATCAGCCATTCTGCTTGGGATATATTTTGTTCGTCATTATTTATTATTATTACGGTCCTTTTCAGAGTTCTAGGCTTCTTCTCACATTTCCTTCTTCAAAAGCTTTTCCAATAGTACTTAAATTATGATTGCCCCTCCAAAGACGGTGATCTATATAACACTCATATCTGTTTACAAGTAGTACGCTTCACAATACACATATATATATATATTACTTGAATTTTGTTCAATAGAAGCGTTATGAAGTCACAGTTACTAGAACGTTTCTTTTTACTTTTGCTTATTTACAGTGTTGTATAGACAACAATTTGGAAATGTGTAGACTCCTTCTCCGATACGGTGCTAATCCTAATTCTCGTGACACGGAACGATGGACTCCATTGCACGCGGCTGCTACATGCCATCATACGGAAATGTGTAAACTTTTAATTGACCAGTAAGTCTAACTGAATTGTTTTTGATGTTTCTTTTTGAATCTGTGCAGCAGTCTTCTACTATGAACTCTTGTTATTGTTAAAACTAAGGTTCACTCATTAGATTTTTCTTCTCACTTTGAAACTATTCACAGGAATACATTCACAGTTTCACATTTTTCAGGTCTCACGTTCAGCACAACACACTAGAGTTTTTTTGTACTCTCGTTCTGCGTGAAGTGGTGCCTAGTACCTAAAAGAATTCTGACTTAAAGAGGAATACTTAAATTTCAACATTTTCCTTATTCTTTATTTAAATTTTGGTTAATGCCAACAGCAAATGCGATAACGCTTTAATACACTTAAACTTTGTTATAAAATCAACTGATCATAAAACCCTGATAATTTATGAACAAATTAACTATAATTTATGGTTGTATTGTTAACTTTCTTTTTTCATTGTACAACCAATCACTACTTCACATCTCTGTTTTCTGATGAAGTTCATTATGGCGTTTTGATACTATCTGTTCACGAGTTTATTTGTATACTATTATGGTTGATAGTCGATATCGCATAAGAAATCTTGGAGACGTCTGCATTACAAACTTCCTTACAAGTTAAAGCATATCTACGTTTCGTATGAATATTTAGATAAAGTTAATTTCGAAACACTCGGTGTCTAATATTGAGTTTGAGTGAATACTTAAGTGTTCTCCTCTTTCTACCAGCTACCTGATTTATTTGTTCCTGAAATAAAATTGAATTATTTTTTTGCTCAATATGTTTTTTTTCTAAAGCACTACTGATATTTATGTTACTGTAGTTGCCGTAATTTGCGACATAGTCCTAGCTCGATTTCTTGTTTTACGAGTTGTCGTAGAGGAGAGCTAGATGTGATATTATGTTGGCCGATGGTGTCTAATTGCCATGCAGGAACCTTCTTATGTTACCTTTTATGATCACTTAACTTTTCGAAAAGGAAGCAATATAACATATTCACAGCATCACTGCCTAGGTACAAAAATACAACAGTTTACGTGTATTCTGCTTAGTTTGCAGTATGGACACTAAAATTACTCTTCACTTTATTTAAGCAAATAACTCAACTGTTGAATAGTGCATATATTTTAATTTCTCGTATGTTAACTAAAAAGAACACTCTGAGATATCTTTTTCACTTAACATATACTGTAAGACGATTTTGCTGCAATCAAAAGGTCGCGTAGTACTTATTCATCACCAGAGATTGTTAATAATTACTGACAAATGTATTTCATCACTATCCATATGCAGTTTTTGTTTTCTGTATATGGTATCACTAAGTTGAGCAAAGTAATTGTCTGAAATTCCTTCAACAAAACAAGGAATCGTTCCGTCTCGTTTTATTTCCCGGGGCACGTTGCAGAATACCCAGTGATATAAATAAAGAGTTTAAATGTTTTGTGAGTTTGAAATCCTCTTCCCCTTTTATTATTTTAGTGATAAAGTCCACCCTTACATAACAAGTGTTTTCTCGGGTCTCAGGGACCAAAGTGACATATAACATATGTGGTGTGTTCAGGCACGATTTGTTTTTGTTATCATGTATAAGTAATCTTAGGTTTTTACCTGTTCAATGAGATCAAAAGTTCTATACTTCTATCAATATCTTCTTTAAGTGACGCCACTGTGTTGTTACTGACTTTACTCTATAAACCTTATTTTTACTTTTGATGAGGTCTGGACAGAAAACCACTGAGGAAAATCTAGCGAAGTACAATATTTTATTGTATCACGAATTAACTGTTTTACTCGTGAATGTTTGGATATAAAGACGGATTTGTTTTCTCTAAGATAAATACACACTGGAAGGAGCACACACACATTTACCGGGTGTAACGATGGTTAAACCTGAGCTGCCATTTTTTATTTCTTTTCCCACCTTCCACCCCAACCACGAAATAAATTAAAAATTCCTACTCTGCTCTACAAAAGCGGTGTTTCAATAATTTTTCCATAAAATCACTTCAGTATTCTTGCTGGCGGTAATGAAAGAAATAATAATGGCAGTGTAAGAGCAATAGTGAACGCATGAATCATTGTTAATCATCGCTCAGATAGCTTTAATTTCAGATGAATGAAATAGAAGTGAGTTGCTCACGCTATAAGAGTATTGAATTAACTATATAATTACGAAATAATGATGGAAACGTTTAATATTTATTTTGGGAGTGGACTGTGGCAGTTTGTTTCATCACTGTATATGCAGTCAATGTGTGCATACTACATATGAAAAGACTTAAATATAGTGAACCTTGATGATTGGTTTGTTTGCAAACGTTCATGCAGCTAGTGTATAGGTATTAAACAGTGGTGTTATATCAACATTCATTTTGAGAAAGTCGAATTGATTTCAGGCTAATTTCATTTCTAAATAGTAGGGAGAGTGATTTCCTCTCAATATTCCCGTTATGTGATTTTAGCAGTGCTATCTGCGCCAATCTTTGACTGATTGTAATATCGGTGCTTAAATATCCTGTTTTTCATTTTCTAACAATTTAGATATTCATGATAATGCTAAAACTCATAATTCAGTGAATTTCGTTATCATGCTCTGTATTATATATGTCCAAACCAAGTTCACTTTTAACAATTTGAAAAAATTTGGGCATTGGGTATGTGATATTCATTGTAATAAAGGTTTTTTGTATCTCCCAATGAGTGAAAAACAAAACGATATTTCATACATTTATTCCCCTTCATGAACTTGAATATATTTCATCACTGCCCATATGCAGTTTTTGTTTACTGTATATGGTATCACTAAATTGAGCAAAGTAATTGTCTGAAATTCCCTCAACAGAACAACACGAATATGATAAGCAATTTCACTGTGTAAACACACGCTGCTTTTATCATTTTACACACTAATCAAATCCAACAATCTACATCTGGTTTTATTATCTGTACCGATTGGCCAATTTGACAACGCAAAAATAACCCCATACTGAGGAACGATGATTCATTTGTTATATTTATGCTGAGATTTTGTAAATTCTGGTTTAATAATACTTTAATAAACCTATTAGCACTAAATAGCAAAACATCAGTAAAAACAATATCGTTTTATTTTTCATTCATTGGGAAATACAAAAAACCTTTATCATCATGCTTTATAGTCTGAAAAATAAGTGTGAATCAGTGTAACAAAGTTAAAATGATTGAAACTACAAATGTAAGCGGGCAAACTCAGATTTTATCGGACTTAGCAACAGTCGTCTTTTTAGATGTGAATACTTACGAGGATATCAAAGTAAGAATCGGAAAAGCAAGACAAGCTTTCACTACTCTCAAGTCTGTGTGGAGGTCAACAGCACTCAGCATCAAAAATAAGATCCGGATTTTCAACTCCAATGTGAAGTCAGTGCTACTATACGGATCAGAGACTTGCACTGCGTGTCACAAAGAGCATCTCAAACAAACTACAGACCTTGATTAACAGTTGTCTTCGCTCAATACTACTCAAGATCAGATGGCCAGGAAAGATCAGCAGCAGGGATCTTTGGGAGCGAACCAACCAGGAACTGATTGTGAAACAAATAAGCAGGAAGAAATGGAGATGGATTAGACATACTCTGAGGAAACCATCAAGTGACATCACTAGACAAGTCATTGCTCGAGTGGAACTCGAAAGAGAAGCGGCGAGTTGGTCGTCAGTGCAAGGGTGACTTGGAGAAGGTCATGTGAAGAGGAGATAAAAACGTGTGGGCAGACTTGGAGCCAAGTGAAGACTCTAGCAGAGAACCGAATTCAATGGAGACTCACGGCTGAAGCCCTATGTTCCTCTAGGAATTAAAGGAAACAATAATAATAATATATATATCAAAGTTAAGTTGTGAAACCTTGTAAGAAAACTGGCCACCAAATTTTGGTTAGCTAAAAGTATATCGCAACTGTAAATTGTCTTTTTCTACTTTTTATGTGCGTCGTATATTTTAAAAGTGTCATAACTAAAAAAATACTTTTTCTTATTACGTCTTTAGCGGTGCAGATCTTCTCGCTATGAATGTGGATGGTAATATGCCTTATGAGTGTTGTATGCCTGGTCAAACCCTGAATCTAATTGAAATGGAAATGGATAAAAGAGGTTAGTCTACTTTCATTGGTGAATTACACAGTTGATAATGCGTATATAATCTTAACTAAAATGCCTACAAAGTTATATAGTTGAGTTCAGTGTAGACTTACCAGTATACAGAAAACCAGTTTATGGCATACAAGTAAGTGATATTCCTCACAAAAACACACACACTTGTTCTGACCCCTTAAAGGTACATATACAGCAACTCAGTAGGAGTTTTGCATTCTAACGTGAAACATATTTGCTAAGGTGGTCATTTTAAAAGTTGACGATTATTAAATATGGAGTCAACAGTTTTCGTGGTATTTTTCTCTATATAGCTCAAAATGATATTTGAATGCCATTCAATTCTCGAGATACACATTTCTTAAATGTCGTGCTACATAACTGTTCACGGAAACAAAGATTACACATCTTTGCTATTGATTTAACAAATGTAATAGGTAAAATAAGCCTAACAACTAGAAATAAGTTGCACTATGTTTATTTTTACTGAAGACTAGCCAAGGTGAATAGAAAAGCAGAAAACCTGTAAACTGCTAGATGATATCGGTTATTCTTATTATTGAGTATATTTGTAGGTGCATTTATGCGTTTTAACCCTGAATTATTTGAGCTATTTCTCCATTTTTTGCTTCTATGTTGAAATGACTCATTATGATTGGCTTACCGCATAAGCACAAATAAACACTGCATAATTTGTCTGTCTATAGTCTAATGTGTCCTTGCTTCTAAACCAAGAGACAACATTTACATATAGACAGAGTGATGTATATAAGATTTCATAAGAGCATTCATATGTTACATTACACTGATGTGTATGCGTGTTTGTGTATAATTATATGAAATCGATTTGGAGCGTTGAATTGATAATGCACGACTTAAGATTACATTTCACAATCAAGAATGCTATTGAAACAGTTTATTTGATTAACAAACAGACAACAATAAAATGCGGTTTTTCATTGTTGTCTGATTTCTAATTTATATAACGTAGACAAATAACTTTACATCAGTGAGTTGAAAAGAGTTTCAGTAGTTGTTTTAGCTTCTGCTTTCTTTATTATCAAGCACAGTATCATTAGTTTTGTTCACTTCTGCAAGTCTCTCAGAGAAACAATAGTTCATTTACCATCACAAGTTGGTACAAAATTTAAAATTCCAAGATGGCCACTTAGTAGATGAAATCTCTATGTCCAATACAATACTGATCTATCTTCTAACAAACGTCTTTCAAATCTCATCAATAAAATTGTAAAAATTGTAATAAGCATTGTGCAATCAATTGTTTGTTACATTTTATTTTTTTCCAAGAAATTATCTAATATGGAATTTCATGAGTTGTTAACGACGAGTTACATATATAAGAGTATGTAAGAATTTATTGACGTTTTAATCAATTCGACCACAGAAATATATGTCTCTTGTGATCAGTCGCAAGAATTATTAGCTTAAGCACTTAGTTGCTCAGTTAACCTTAACAGAGTGTATTTCTGCTCTCAATACTTTGTTGTACACAGAAAACACTTAACGCCATCAATTCTAGTTATTTCTGCAATAGTATCGATGCGACGGTGACACAGCGGTAGAATGCTCGCCAACCACACATGTGGTTCGGGGTACGATCCCCGGCCGACACACTCATTTACCTCGCTAAGCCAGTAATAAGACTGGTAAATAGGGAAGGTTGGGCATAAGTCTAGCAACCCCATACTGTAAAAGTAAACACCACTGCTATCGAAACTTCAAGCCTCTAGCTTGAAGCCCTATGTTCCACTCGCAATGCAAAGGAATAGAAATTTTAAAAATCCATAATTCATTTCTTGTACTATTTTTGAGGGTACTAACATTGTTGTGCTGCTCTATTTTGCCCAAACTAGCGTACACGTATATCCTAATACTTCTTCGCGTTTATAATTGTGTCCTAACGTAGTGATTACTCGACATCCACAACGTAAATCAAAAGGCACTTGCGAAGGAATACGATCGTGTATTATCGCAGCAATCAAAATTCAAAAATTGAGCTAGTACAAAAGTATCAATTGTTAACACGCAATCTTTAGAGTGATAAACAAATCAAAGTCCAATTACATAGTGAAAGTATACTTCGATGATGAGTAATAAAATGGGTCACTACAACATCTCGTTGTGTGAACTTCTTTTTTAAGCGATTCATAATTGTTTTAGGTTCACTAAACACAAGAAACAACAAAGGTGTTTTGCTGTAGAGTCATAGTGTGTTGTGCATTATCCGTTTTCAGTTTCCGGTTGGCATATTGATTCTCTTTAGTATAAACTACAGTCGACCTGTCACTAACACGCTAATAATGTTTTTATCATTATGAATTGTCCAAAAACTAATTGTAAGCAGTGAATCATACAAAAATATCTTTCTATCAAGATCAAGCTTTAGAATAAGCGTACCTAGTCTATATGACAGCCATTTCAAAGATGCCTACTTATAATCTTACCTCCCATTATAAAACTTCCTCAGTGAATAACTCTAATACAAATCTTCGATTATCTGAATACACCTTGATATCAGATATACGTTTACTTTTTGCATGAGGACGAAAGTTCAGCAAATCATCTGCCTTTGTTAATTTATTGGATATTGGTAACAATCAACTATCCAGGTTTGAGATTTCTCTCAATCGTTAAGTTATGAACTATGTAACTATCATTGCATACCTTGTCGAGGCGACAGAACTGAGAAGACAAAATTTATTTACCTTGGCACAGTAAACACTAACTGAAAATGTATTAGCTAATTATTTTATGGAACTAATAAATGTTAAGTTTCGTACCGACATGTAGTCTCCACTTACACTAATTAACAGTAAACTAATAGATCACTATTTTTATAGCGTACCACATGAATTAACCAAAGATATAAAATTCACATTATACAAACATATCTTCAATAGACGGACATTTTATGCTTACATTAACAAGCGTTAAGATACTGTTCAGTCATTATGTCAATTATTAGAATGGATAAAATATATATTTGAACTGAATTTCTTTGGAAAAGCACTTTGGCTATTCATTACAAGTGTAACTAGCGTCTACCCGTTGAGTAGAATACAGTCGAATAATACTTACCTTCAGTAAAGAGTTTATTACGAAGCCTTAAGATAACAAAATTGTCACTAATTTAATTGTGTAATTAATACTGTTACATTTTACCGGTGTTTTTATTCTCTTATAAGCAGTGTAATAATTTAGAAGTGTTATACTGATGAGGGTTTTATTGAAAACTAATCCAGGACCCATTAGCAGCTGACTATAAGATGAACTGCCTGAAATTCTAATGCGAATTCGTGAACTGCTGGATGAACCAAGTCAGCTGTGAACACAGATGCTCAGAAATTATAATAGAAGGTAATATCACCGATATCGGAAGCTGAAAGTAGTTAGATTAAATTAAGATCTAGTGACTGAATGGAAATATGTTCTCACCTTCAGCTGAAGATCCTCAGTTCGATCCTTGGTAAGTTCAACGATATGTAACTCTGTACATTCTGAAACTAGAACGAACTAGCGGTTCAGCGTCCTCTGGTTTTCAATGGTTGTCTAGGGCGTGGAGACATCTACCTATAAAACGAGTAAATTTTGTTGAAGGCAACTTCTTAGCACGGAAATACTATCCGAACCATTCAAAGCTTGTTACTTGCTTCATTGTAATACGACTGCCACTAATAGAATGAAACTTGTATGGGTAATATAGTTTGCTTAGAAAATAACTTTTTATCTGTTACAACTTTTTTGTTCTCATGAGGTGCATTTGATAAAACTAGTGTGGGTAAATGATAAAATGCCATTTCTGTCTGATAACTCTTAATAATCAGTTGATTTATCTTTAGCTTTCTGTTCACCATCGTAGTCCTTTTTTTAAAATTTTCGGTATATAATCTTTTCTGTAATCAGCTAAATGTATGCCTTTTGCCTGCACCGTTAGTGATGCAAGATACTTATTTGTAGTTTCTGTTGCCTTCTTACTGTCATACTGACAATCATTTTTCTGGAAATACCAAAGTTTATGAAGGAGATATTATCTGTAAATTTTTTTAGCCAAAGTAATATTTTTCGGTGAACCTATGTGTAGTTCTTATTTGCATTTATCCTATATGAATAATTTGTCACTAGTCAACGTTTCAGTCTTCAGTAAGTTGACTGTTAGTCATTTATTTGTCAGAAATGTCAAGTTGAATTTGTAGTTCATAAGAAAAAATCAGCCCACTGCTTATACCACAGCATAACATTTCTACCATCTCATTTACATACATCCGGGTGGCCCTAAATTCTGTTGAAATCTTTTAAATGGATTACTTATTAATGCATTCTCCGAATGGTCAAACTGTAATCATTTCGATCAACTGAAAGAAATGTGTCACGTTACCGTTTTCATACTTCTCTACATGAAAGCAAGAATAAGAATGGGGACGTAGAATGGCCGTGCAATGTATGAGGCTGGGAAGGCTGCTCAGGTAGCCAAAGAAATGCAAAGATATGGCATTGAATTGTGGGTATCTGCGAGAGCAGATGTAATAAATGTGGGCTATTAAAATTGGCAACTGGAGATTCAGAAATGTACTCCGGTCTGCTCACCCGGCCGACAACCACGAGTTAACTCAGGCAGTGAGTGGCTATCATGATGTCACCAGTGGTAGCCACAGCCCTACTGCAATGGAAACCAATATCATCCTGCAGGATTATGACAGAAAGATTCAACTCAAAAGGAAGGAAGGAGGGTTATGATTGTCATGCAATGCTACCCACAGTACTGCAAACAACTCGGAACGGGAGAAGAAGGAAGATTTTTACAGACAACTACAAACAGTAATGGACAATATCCCGAATGGTGACATCAAGATCCTCAAGGGCGATATGAATGCCAAGCGAACTGTGGGCAGATAATACGAGAAGAGAACTTATCATATTTCGAGAGGCACTCACATGGTGAAATGAATGACAAGGGAGAATTATTCGTAGAATTTTGCACTTCCAATGATTTGGTGATCGGAGGCAGCGTGTACAGACACAAGGATATACACAAGGCAACATGGATTTCCCTTGACGAAAACACCACAAACCAGATAAACTTCATTTCAATATCACTCAAGGAAGTAGAAACGCAGTAAGCCTGTTGAGCACAAAGTCGAGAAGGGAAGCAGATGTGGGCGGGCTCAGACTATCGTCTAGTTCAAGGAACCCTCAAGGTGAAGCTGAAATCCCTGAAAACAACTGGAGACAGGCCGCAATTCAAGTTCAATACAGAACTCCGCACGGAACAAGCTGGATTCAGGAAAGGAAAATCATGTGCTGATCAATTTCAAACTCTCCTCATCGTCATCACAGAACAAAGCAGAGAATGCCAGTCAAACCTGTAGCGTAACTTCATCGACTTCGGAAAGGCGTTGACCGAGACGTAGTTTGAAAACTGCTTCAAAACTATGCCGCACTTCAAGTCTGTATCAACTTCATTCATCAGCTGGCTATGTGACAGTACCACGTGAGAGGTGATCCACAGCGAAAAGCAGAGAAGCTACTGCAGTGAAGATAAGAGCAAGGCAAGCTGACTGCCTATTAACACTGATGATATTCTAAATTCCGGTGGACTGACTGGATTATGCGTCAGACTGTGAGTTGAGAGTGAGATGACAGGTGTGCACTGGACCACCGATAAGACGACTCTAGAAGATCTGGATTTCGCGAGTGGATGATATGTGTCTAATTCCACACAAACTCGAAGACTGGCAGGCGAAAACCAAGAAATTGGTAGAAGAGGCAGGCAGTGAACATAGGACTCCATTTAAACATAGAGAAGACGAAGTGATGAAGATAACCGATGAACCACAACAACAACAACAACAAGCACCAGTCACCATCAATGGGAGAGATTTAAAAGATGTGACTTCCTTCACTTAGCTAGGAAGCATCGTTTCAACGACAGGTGGAACGGATGAAAATGTCAAAGGCAGCCATAACTGAAAGGAAAGATACGCCTTCATCATCCTGAAACCAGTTCCCAAATCTTCTGCTTCACTCAGTCAGCATAGAAAACAAGATTCGGACTTCCAACATAAATGTGAAGTCAGTCAGTTCTTCTATACGGGTCCGAAACTTGCACTGCGTGTCAGGAAAGCATTTCCAACTGCTTGTTGCAGACTCTCATCCACAGATGCCTTCTCTGACTGGCTCCATACTTAAGGTCAAATGGCTAGAAAGAATTAGCAATGAGAAACTCTGGCTGGGAAGAAACCGACGAAGAGCGAATTGCTCAACAGCTATGTAGGAGAAAACGGAAATGGACCGGGAATGTGTTGAGGAGACCGTCGGATGACATCTCGCGCAGTGTAAGCCATCACTCGAGTGGAATCCAAATGGGAAGTGACAAGTGGGTCGTCGGTGCGAGGGTGACATGGAGGAGATTGTGTGACGAGGAGGGGTAGATGAGAGACTTTGGTTAATCGTGGATCGGGCTGAAGAGGATGGCAGAAAATGGAACAAAGTGGAGTTGTGTTGTTGAAGCCCTATGTTCCACTTGGAACCCTAAGGGAATAATAATATATGATACCGTTTTCATACAATGATATGGAAATGATATGGAACACTATCCAACGTGACTGCAGAAGGGTAGTAGTGGCCGTATAAGGAGTACAACAATCAAACATTTCGCCACCACTGGTCATTCCATCTCAACAAACGCTTCCTTCAAAGTAATTTACAAAGTGAAGAACAACCTGTTAAATACAATCGTTTTCGTCGTCTTTGCATTGCAGATGCCCTAACCATTCAGTTAGAAGAACCAGAACTATGCATACAAAGGAAAATTATTCAGCCACTTCTACTATCATAGTAACAACTCTGTTGATCTGACTTAACTTTTGATTGTTTGCTTGTTTTTCTAACTACTTAAAACTCTGGTATTCCTTTAGAACTCTTACGTATTTCTGTATTTTATTTTATTTCCATGTTTTTCCTCAGCATAACTCTTTCATCAAACTATTCATGATAACACGTAACTTTTCTTTAACAGTCGTTTGTGACAACTCATCACCTTTGTTACTACCCTGTTATATCAATATCCAATTCCTCTAAATACTTTTCGTATTACGTAACTCCACCTAAAACTTACTAATTGTATTTTCATTTGACAAAGTTAATGTTCACACACATACAAAAAACGATCATATATATTTGTGATTGTACAGCTATGAAAATGAATTCGCCTAAAAGAGACTCTTTGCTGAACTACTGGTATTCTCTCTATTAATATGGAAATGTAGCTGTATTTCGGCGTAATGCAATGAAGAGGATAACGTCGGCTTTGCTGTACATATATAGCTGTTCAAAGTTAAAAAGCTTCCAAAAAAGGAATTATACACATACACGTAATTATTTGCTCTCAGTCCGCATTTGTTAAAAGCGCACTGGCTTGTTTTATGCTATCGCCTTAGTTATTTTGGAAAAGAATACTTTTTTGACAGACGTTTATATACTGCCTTATTCTTTGCAGTCAGTGAACCCATAGTTACGCTTATTTTATCGCGATTTGTTATCTTCCTCTTTAATTTTTTCTATAAACTTTGACAACACTTAGGATTTGCAATGCTCATGAAAAAATGAATGTCCAAACTAACTCACAACTTGTTTGCGCAAAGTCACAGACGTAAAACATTTATTGCCGCCACTGTGATAACATCGGTTCTGTTTCTATCAGATGAACTTTTATAGTTCTACTAAGGTACACAAATGATATAGTTATATCTGAATACTTTGCATTTTCGATAACTTTAAAGAATCATCGGCAGTACGCACCCACTGGATGAAACAGCAGCTGTCCACTACTCCCTCGTTTTCACTGCTTCTCTAACTGATATCAATCCGTGATCAACTCGTAAAAAATAAAAATAACCCTTACAAACCAAACCATAAAAAATTAATCTGATGTTCGCTAGTGACTTGCTACAGGGTGGAGTTTCCTGGAGTTCTAGTGAGAAGTCATGACCAGTGAGGTCCATCCAGATGTCACGTGTGAGGATGGATGTCCCACCTATGACAATGGTAGGGGTCGCGCTAAATCACCAATTGGTAGAAGTTAGAATTCATGCACCATTGAATCGGGTCCTAGTGGCTGAATGGTATATGAGCTTGCCTTGTAACCGGAAGGTCCTGGGTTCGAACCCCAGCAGGTGCGTTCTTCCGATGATTCCCAAACTAGGATGAAACAGCTGTCCAGTACTCCCTCGTTTTGAATGCTTCTGTAGCTGATATCAGTGATCAACTCGTAAAACATAACTAACCCTTACAAACCAAACTATAGAAAACTTTTAAGAAAATAAATAAATTCAGTGAACAACTTTATCACAAAATGTTGATATTTTATGTAGACACTCTCAGTTGCATTTCAGTTTAATAATTCCGAAATTATATACTCGCAAACTGTTCTCAAAGCTTCAAGCACCGGTGCTGAAATGGTTGTTCGTTTAAAAAATGGAAGACTATTCATCAATGCTTCTAATGGTGACATGAATGTTATTAGCTGGTCGTGCAATTTCTTTACTGGATAGAAATAGTTGTGGAAATAGTCTAAATATATTCGACACATTCGGTCTCTACAATCTATATAGAACAGAGTTATAAAGACTACTTATTTACTTAAGGGAAAAAAATATCCAAAAACATAGAAACACTAATAGGATGGTAATGAGTCGCCTGATTAGAGTTAGTTTGAGAATTTGGACGCCTTAGTAACTACATAAACACACTCACACACACATAAATAACAATCTTGTCTGTACATTCAGCTCAAAGTAATTATCTTGTTTTCCCTTTTATCACTAAAATTGTGATAAACATTTTTATATGCTAAGTGGTTTGTTATTTATAGTGGTTTATGAGTGTCTTTTTTTCCGCTTTATTTTTTCATCAAAGGTATTACCCAAGAAGAAATAGATGACTGGCACAGAGTCCCAGAATGTGAAATGCTTACGGATATGGAAGCATTATATAAAGCTGGTGCTGATCTTGATATGTTAGATCCACAAGGTGCATCTATGGTAAGTTGAAAAAAATGTGCAGTATTGCTTAAGTACTGAAGTGATAATTTTAAGTCACAAATCTGTGTTATAATCTGGCTATTAATAGTTAATACACACTATACTAATGGTAAAATGGAATTTGTTGTTTAACTCCATCAGTTTGAACTAAGATCAGACATTATCTTCCACATGTTGTGTTTCACCACTTCATGAGTGATGTGACCTAATAAGCCTTATCCTTTCGTAGTTATTAGCTTTAAATAATTTATTGTAAATATTCCGTGATTTCCAACAATAAGAATAAAGAACCTAATCAGTCCAGCTTTACTGTGTACTTTCAATTTCCCACCATCGTCGTTTGTTATAACAATTCATTTCTATATTTTACCACACTCTCTAAATTTGATGATTCTCATTTAGTTTGTGCTGCTATCACGATACTGTTTTCCGCCGTAATTCTTACTGTTGCCATGAGAAGTCATATGATAAATAGTGAAAACAGATATGCATTGAAATTCTATTTGATATTCAAAGACAAGGATCATCGGATATTAAAATCTTCATTACCCATAATACTGTATTTTTGACTAGTATTCATAGTCAGCGTAACAAATTCACTGGACCAATGGCATATATATATATGTGAATAGTCTTGTGAAACTGAGAATTTTCATTCAGGATCCCACTAATAGTTTAAATATTAAATAGGATTTTTTCTGTTTAAGCTAATGTTGCTTAAAATCGGTAAACTACCTACCAAGATAACGTTTAGAACGAAACACAGAAACGTATGTATTACAGTTAGCGTGAAGTTGTGGCTTGAGCAACTGACTTTCATTCAGTGACCCTCGGGTTCAAATCATGCACTACTTATTATCACTACACCTCACATAATGAATGTGGCTAACTACCATTTATAACCATAGTGTTTAGACGATTTTGGATTGCAGTAAAACTTATTAGTTTCTCAAATTTGTAGTGCTTGTAAGCACTTCAAGTTACCACCGCTACCGAATTTTCATAGCTCAAGCTTGAAGCTTTTTTTACTCGAAACGTAGAGGAATAAAACAAAACAAACAAAATATCTTTCTAGATTTTGGCAGTTCTGGGGTTACAAAAGATTGAAGTTGTAAGCCCTACGGATTATCACTATTAAGATCTGAAGTTTTGACAATAACAGATCAGATGGGCTAAGAATAGTCTATCATCATACTTCGTTGGATTGTAAGTCAGTTCAAAATGTACTTTATGCATATTGTGTAAAATATGTGTACATCTACTACCGGTTTCCATCGCCTATTAGCCGCCTAAATTATTCTTTATTCCCATTACAGTCTTTTGGAATCAACCAGTGGGCTGTAACAGTTAAAATATAAAAACTAAGCGATTTTTGTAGCTCATCTATCAAGGATGATAGATTTGGTCTGAGCTGAGCAGTGGTAAAGTATGTTTCCTGAACACTTGAGTGTGCCCAGTAGTGCCTTCAATGGTGCACACCTATGATCCCATCAAGGGTTTAAATCAAGACTTTGAGGTGATATCTAGGCGAGTTTACCAATTAAATATTTGGTCAGAATGCAAAGGCCCACAAATTCCAGCTTCTGTGAATTTTAGAGCACAATTGAATATGATCCGTGAATATCTGCTAATACACCTGAAGACTTTTGGCTCTATCCCTTAGTGAAATCATGAATGCCGATTATAAGAAAGATCCAAACTGTGAAGGAACGCCTCTTCATTGCTCTTTGGTTTCGAATAGATTGTGATGAAATCTTCTCGGAAGCTACTTTAACTATTTACAATTTCTGTATCATCAAAAGTGAATTACGATATGCTTATGATAAAGCGTTTAAAATGCAGGGAATCCATTCATAAGAAACCGTTGACCTAGATTTCATTCTTGTTAGCATTCGGAAGTTCTCTGTATGCGCTTCAATGATAGGCACTGAAACAGTAGTCAAGAAAAAAAGATCACTGCTTCTTTGCAAAAAGCAAATTGAGACCGTACGGTTAAAACTTAAGCATTTTTGCCTTATGGGGAAATTTTTCAACATGATTAACTATGAATAAAATTAAACTAATCTCATGGTCTGTAAAAAAGGAAAGAGAAAGAGATCAATCACAATCCATTGGTGAATATGAGCAACGTTAGAGGAGTGGATGTTTTGCTGCTCGAAATTTTCCAAGAGTATACTTTCATCTAGCTTTTGTAATATATTTTACTTTGTTTAGTATCATTATCGTTTTGATTGAGATTTATACACCGCCACTTTTATACAGCATGAAGTCTAATCGAATTTTAAAATACATTTTTTTATACCTCAGCAACTTAGTCTAGACACATTGTTAGAAATAAGACTTCACAATTATTTTTCAAACTTTACCGCAGTCAATTAGTGATTGCGTGTTCAGACTAAGAATTCTGGTTTATAATTTTGTTTCATCTATTTCGAAAGACTGACTGTTTGTTTTGCTTTTCTTTTGGCGTAACTTAATTTATTTTCTGTCTGATTCGCTGTAAAGCCACGCGATGGACAAAAATGGTGAATGAATTTAAACAGCATAATGAAATATAATAAGAACCACTTTGTCACTCCAAGTTTTTGAGGTTTGATTTGAACATAAGTCGGTTCATTAATTTCTTTGAGTTGAGTGACTTGGTGATTGAGCTTTTGGGATGCTGAATATCAAATTCTATATAGAAATTATTATTCACATTAAATTGATTATTAATATTTTTGAAAATAAAAGCATAGCTAAAATATGGCATCTTTATAGGAGTGTTTATATAATGGATGTTAAATAAAAATTGTTGAATTCGGATTAGATGATTACCATTATATGATTCACTGTGTTTACTTGCATTAGCTGCTGTATGAGTCTTTACCTAGTGTCGAATTTTACATCCATTTTACTTAATCAGCCCGTTAGAGAGGGAATACTTAAGTACCGAGATTCAGTCATGTGCGTCGGTGGCACAGTGGTTAGGACTCTCGCCGACCATGCACATGGTCCGGGGTTCGATCCCCTGCCGGCGCACACCCGATATCTATGGTCGGCCTGAATTTGGGCTACCGATATCCCTGCTGAAAATTCCACACTTGTACTGAAAATACGGTGTGGAATCAAGCTGTAAATAAAAATAAAAAAAATAAAAAATAAATAAATCTTTACTTTTGTTGACTTCTAGTTAGAATGCTCACCATTGCCAGCTGGTTGGTTTAATATGTACTAAATCTTACTTGCTTTTCATTTCCGTGAACACTAATTAGTTTGTAGCTCAGGTAGTTCGTTTTGTGCCTGGCTATATATAGAAGCATGGCTTTCTATACGATTTTGAACTTATAAGTCTAGTGTAAAATACCTTCCGTATCTGTTTCCCTTCAGAAGGACAGGTATTACCATAAGCCTTCACATGCATCAACTATTAATTATGTGTAAATAAAAGGAAAATAATTGTTCTCTTTATCTATCTGTAACTTAAGACGTTTTGACTGTCAGGTTTCATTTTCATGCAAACAGAAGCAGTTCACTCAACCCTTAGTTTTTTCCAACTAATTTTTGTTGTTCAAGTGTTCATTAATCAATAAATCTAGTGAATATATTTTCTTATTCCATTTATTACTTACTAGTAGTCATGAAACACCATTATTAAATTTCACAGTTCTCCCCCAATGATAATGTATACACTCTACTTATTTTGCTAAAGTAATATTGCTTATTTTATATCCACTAAGTTAAAGTATCACTGGAATTAACTTATATCATTTCATAGTTTTTTTAAGTACAATTTTTTTGAGGAAAAACTTTTCTAAATTTTATTGATATCGTCATTATTTTTTAACTGATCTTGCTAACTTTTCTAGTGCAAATTAATGTTTTTTTTTCACTTTGTTCATTTTTCTAGCCCTCTCTACATTAGTTGTGGTTTTCTTCCCAAATAATAATAATAATTCCACACACTCGAACATACTTCATATCTGTTCCATAAAGGACTAATAATATTGTTGCCTAACAGTTGAGTCTTTAGTTAAGGAAATTACATCTTGTTGTGAAGGTGCAACATAAAAATTCACTGCTTTTCCTACAGTTAGTCAATATCTCTAGATTGTTCTTTTTCTTCGGTTACATTTTCTCTTGATCATCCACCCGTTTGACATATTTATTCACAATTCAGTGGTTTTGCCATTTTTTTGTAACACAGTTTATTAAGAATAAAACTGTATAATAGCAATGAGTCAGTAGGAGGATAAGAATCACTTTTATTTGGATTTTTGAATTAGAAATATCAGAAAATATTTTCCTACTGCCTTTAGGAACCACTTTAGTACATCGCTGTGTCATAGAGTTAGTTAGTTAGTCAAGTAAGATTATTCAACAAAGCCTGGAAACTTAACCTTTTTCACTGTTCAACAAGTGATTGGTAATCACTCTGTTCGTGATGAAATTTATACACTTTTGGAGCACAGTTCCAGTAGGTTAAGTTATCAATACCTATAAACACGGGCATCCAGAAAAATGTATGTTGCATTTTACTTTATTTATTTCGGTACTGATATAACGTATTGTATTACAGATCTAATGTCTTTTTTGAAAACAGCACTCACCTAGGCTGTTTGATTACTAATCTCGGCTATTTGTTACTTCTACGTTACTTCTTTAAGCATGTTCAGGAAGTAAATAGCCACCATGTCACTCACCTATGCATTGATCGGGAAAACATTTATACGGGAACCCAAAAACGTCAGGCAAAATGTAAATAGTTTTTGAAGATTTTTAATCTGGTAAACTCCGGTATTAGTAAATCCCTCGCAGCATTGATTTTGTCATCTGTGTAGCTGTTTCAATCAGCCAAGATAAAAAAATTCACATGACCGATTTCCAGTATGTCTTATCGAGTAGATTTTACTGACAATGATCAACAGAATTGTGGCTGTAGTTAACATAACCCGAAACTCTGTAAATACTTGTTGTAGCAAGCTTACGTCAGACAAACATTCAAAGGACCGTAGATACAA